TCGGCAACGAACGGCCGGCGAGAGGCTGTTAACTATTAATGGCCGCAACTGTTATTACATTGCATAGGCCATTCCCTGATGCTTCAGCTTTTGCTGACCTGCGATGACCGATCGTAAAAGATCGTTGACTTCGTGGACAGCTGCTGAGCGACGGGCCGTAAAGACCATCGTTGGCTACAATGTGTACAATGTCTTCACCTTCTGGACTAGCTCCTAGACCAGATACAGTCATTGCCTGTCTTCTACAGGGAAAAATCAACAAGAAAAACTTATATATATGATGGAATTGAGAGATAAGGCTTACATTTCTTTTGTTATTGACATGAGAGCACTCCCTTTATAACGCCCACTAGTCGGATCGCCCAGCTAACGCCGGGCTCTCCTCCTTCTTATGTAATGCCCGGCTACGCCGGGCATATTCCTTCTTGTGTCAAAGTCGGAAAACCCTTTTACATCCGCGCCCACCACTTCAGTACAATTGCTCCAATGTGAATGATCACAACATTTACTTTTGAAATGGATTCATGTGACAGTACTTCTCGAACTTCGTCAGAGCGGTTATAAAACAATTCTGGATGACACTGTCTCATCTTGAGTTCGTCATTCTAGGATGTGCGTGCTTGGTTAAAGAATGATAGAGAAAGAAGATAAGCATACATATCAAAGGCTTCTACACTAATCAGAATCTTATTGGTATTATTGAAAAACTAATTTACTTGCATGTCAATTTCTCCAGAAATGATTAGAAAGTCATTCTAGAGAGCACTGTCCGATCTGGAAAGATGATCATGATCTAAGCACTCCTTTTAACATTATAGGACGTTTTCAAATAGACTTATGAGCTTTTTCAAAAAGAACCTAACATTAAACCGTGCTCCCTATCGTGGGCGGAGCTTTACTATGCACGCGTGCCCTCCACCATAAGGCCCTGCTCACTCCTTTTTTCCAGCCTCCACACCCTCTTTGAATGGAATTATGAACCTGTGGGGAGACTGCCGCCAACTGCCTCTCCTTCTTTCTATTTGTTGGCCTGCCCCTCTACTTTGCCTATTTTGTTTCTCGGCGTCTGGGCTGTTAGAAACCTATTCAAGTTTTGCCCATGTCACCACTCACTCTTGTGCATGTTCCACCCCTGAAGGCGGAGCTTCTCTGATCTCACATGTGCTCTTTTGGTTCTGCCACATGCCCAACCCATCCCAAACTTAAACCGACTTATTTTAAGAAGTTTTGCCCATGACATCACCCGATCCTGCGCATGTCCCACCCCTGAAGTAGGAGCTTCGCTGAGCTCAAATGTGTTCTTTTGGTCTTGACCTGTCCCCAACCCATCGCAAACCTGACCGGACTTATGCAGGTGCTCCCTAAGGTAATATCGAATTTCTGTACAATTGAACGAACAAACAAACAATTAGACGCAAGCGTTTTCCACATGATGATGAGCTGTCGTACAGATTTCGCCCAAGCAACTTTGGAAAAACTTCATCTAGCAACNGAAATATCATAAAGTGGATAGTTTTTTGGAGTGCATAAGCGAAATTCACATTCAAAATTAGAAATTTCGATAAGATTAGATTCCTAGTGATTTTGTGGATTTCCGATTATGGTTCTACGGAAAATTACGCGTCTATTCTGGAAAACAGATTAAATGCAAAGGTAGTTTCGGTAAAAATTCTTCGTGAGCAAAAAGGGTTTTTTGCCAACGAAGCCTAACCTCTCCCCTCCCTCAGTTGGCAGCGAACCGATAGTTGAGTCGTCCATAGTATAAGTATTCAGCACGACAGTAAATAATCAGCAAAACGTTTGGTGTATAAAAATTAGGTAATATTCCCCAATTTGAACCGCTTTGTGAGTATTGATCTCTTGACATTGATAGGTGATCGTGGAATTGTTTCCATTCTGAGCTTCTCTAGATCCCAGGGGCTTGATTGTCCTGCATCGTGGGAGGCGAGTTCTGATTTTTAGTCTGTGACATCATGTGAAGAGCATCGGTTAGGTTCCCATATCATAGCTGTTTTCTTACTGCGCTCATTTGATCTCCACGCTCTTGATCGCGCCTATGTGACTTTTGCGAGGACACACAAACGGACATACAAACGGACACACAAAGTTAGCGGTTTATTTATATATACATATATAGAGGATTCTACTCTTATTATATGATTAATCAGCTAAACTTTCAAATCATCTAGGAATTACTTATAGACCAAGAACTATCGTGCTCTGACGGACATTATACGACTAACGAACGCATGGGATCACTAAGCCTGAAGCTGTCCTTGAGAATATTAATATGTATTCAATGCTCATCATCCTATTTTTGGGTTTTTGTTTTTTTAATACCCGGGTGGGAGGATACCCTAATTTTGTTCAGAACTGGGATAAATAAAAGAAATGCTAAATAAATTGGCGTTCATACTTGTTAGCAAGTACGAACGCCAATTCACTTGGCTTAAGGTTACCCAACTATGGGCTATATGTTGACAAATGGGTGGGCCGTGATATAATGGAACTCGTCGCCAGGATTAACTAGAACTTTTACTTTAGTTCTATTGAAATTACAGTCAAATGTGCTCTAGATGCACACCATTTTGACAAGAAAGACCGTGCTCTGGATGCACACAGTGTTTCTACCCATAGATTTAGGGGCGAAATGTCTAATTGTTCCGCTACCCATAATAATGACAATGACAAAGAGAATAATGACGTATTGAAGGGTCAGTTCGAGGGACGTCCTCTTTATAAATATGTACTTCGAAGTGAATTGACCTAACTCTCGTCGCGGGGTCCATCTCCCTCGTCCATGAGCCTGAATTTTCCAAGAATATCGCGACGACTCCGGCGCAGCGAGTTGGTCGAACACGAATAGACCATGTAGGAAGAATATTGGGGGGGGAGGTAAGAGGTAAGGGTTTTTCTTAAGGTAATACCAAAAAAATTGCTATCCTTACTATATACAAAGCGCTCTGTCTGTCTGTCTGTTTGTACGGAAACTTGATACAACCTGAAGAAACACCGGGAGAAGTCGGGTCAAGTTTGGAATAGGGTAAGTGCAACAGAGCACATGTGAGCCTGGCGGAGCTCCGCCCGCAAGGGGCGGGGCATGCGCCGGGGTTGGGCGGGGTCATGGGCTAATTCTTCTAATTCGGTCTCGTAACAGTCCAGATGCCGGGAAAAAATGTGCAAAGGTGAGGGATGGGTCAATAATTAAAATAAAGGAAACTTACCGACGCTGGGCGGAGCGTTCTCGCAGTGCGCGGTACGTTCCAAAGGGATTCATAACTCGATTCAGCGAAGGTGCCGAGGCCAGGAAGAAAAAGCAAAGAAAGTGAGCAAGGCCTTATGCGTGCTGGGCATGCGTAAGCTTAGCGAAGCCCCGCCCACGGTGGGCGGGACGTGCGTTAAGGTGAAAGCTATTTTTCAAAAATGAGTGTAACTTCGTTCGGAAACGTTCTAGAATGCGGAAAAAAAGTGGTTAGAGGTAGTGGAACAAATGTGGTGAAATTCTCGAAGTGGGCGGGGTTGGCGCCTAAATGGGCGGAGCTTGTATCAAAATTTCATAAATTTTTCAAAAACGTCCTAGGACGCGGGGAAAAAGTCGTAAGAGGTAATGGAACAAACGTGATCAAATTCCCGAAGTGGGCGGAGCTGGCACAGGAAAGCGGGGCTGGGACAAAAAAATGCATCCCTTTGAAGACTTTCTAAAATGCGGAAAAAATGGTTAGGAGCATTCAAAAGGAGAGTGGTCAAGTTTATAGTGGGAAGGGTTTGCACTAAGGTGGACGGAGCTATGATCAACCACTAATACCTCTGCTCAAATGCGATCGAATATAGAGAGAACTACCTATTCTGAGTATCCAAATCTCTGCTAAATGACTCTATCGTGGATAAGTGGCCGTCGACATATACTGCACGCTTTAGCGTGCATAGCCAAACTGGTAGCTATGAAGTTGGGATTTCCCAAAAAAATTCTCTGCGGGAACTCGATATCAGATACCAGGTTGTACGGGCCTATGTATCCGATGTGTAGCTGTGTTTATAAACTCGAACAGATTGTATTAATGATTTATCATTATTACATTGAACGGAATATGATGGGGAAAGACTGAAATAGTGGCGAGGGCCTCCAGCCCACGCCTAGGCGGCGAGGCAGTGAGGGAAGTCGTTCGTGCGGTAGCGGAGGTAGTCGTCTCCTTGTTGTCAGCTCGCTCGTTATACACTCTCCGGGAGTGTAGCGTAGCAATCGTCCTCGGCTTGCTCGGCTGCCTATGATATGACAACCGCCTCCCGACGTCTCCTAGTCATTACAGACAAAATAGCATCCTGTCGCCATTGTAGCCTTCCTTACTCTCGCTTTGACCAGGAAATACAGGTAAATGGATCCCTTTTTTAATGGGATCCATTTTCCTGTATTTCCTGAGTTGATTACCTCTTTCGATCCACAACTTCAAAAATTCCGCACCGCATGGTTGCTTTCAGACTTCAACGACGCAACTGACAACCGTCAGTTCGTGCGTGCGTCCTACCGAGAAATCGACCGACGGTGTTGCTGACTATGTGTTGACAACACTGGAGGCCTATGGATACGCGCCAGTGCATACGTGCATTCAACCTACGTCCGTTCGTCCGTCCGTCGCGGTCGCACGCGACGGGCAACGGACGGACGAACGGACGTAGGTTGAATCGTTGAGGCATGAAAGCAGCCAATTAGGGGTCCGGTATCCCCTCCCCGAAAACGACGTCGCGTTTGCCGCATCCGATCGTGCGCATTGAAGGGGAAGGTTTGAATTCCCAGTGCAAGGATAGGGTAGTCGCCGTGTGATCTTTGCCGCTCGCCGTGGGAATTCGGGAGAAGCTCCGGCACCCAGCCAATGAGTGAGCCCGTCTCTTCCCACCTGCGCTCTGGCCCATCATGGCAGAGAACCAAGCACGCAGTGCTGATCTTTTTCCCTACTTTCGAGAGCGAGGCACGCGAAAATTCATCCTGGGAGAATCTGTTTCGTATGCAAACTATTACTGCCTTATCAATTAGTGGAGTTTACATTATCGGCCAAAAAGTAAGCAAACCCTATACCTTTGACGGCGATTCAATATAGATGAGTGGAAACGCGCAAATTTGTTTCAGCTATCAAAGCAAGTTTTTAACGTGATCCATACCTCTAGAACAATTTCGGCGATTATGGCAGACCGAAAAATTGCTTCTATGCAAAAATGTGTTGTGGAAGTCCCAACGGCCGTTCGTGGAATGCAGGATTTACGGAAGGAAGCGTTCACGTAAGAATTCTAACAAATCATTCCTTTCAAGGAAATAAGCATAACATTTTGAAATGCTTTTCATAGTTTACAGAACAAATATCACACTGCTCGCGTTGAGGGTTGATGCTTCAAACTTGTCCACAATACAGAGAAAAGTTAGGTTGGAGAAGTATCTTTTCAAGAATCTTGGACGGATCAAGGTTGTTGACTTGGACAGCTCTTTTTGTGAAAAGAGCTTTCCTCTGATATTTTCAGAACATTATGAATGCGGATGACTCAAAGCATAAGCTACTACTATTCGATCCTAATACGTTGCATGAAAATTGTGTGGAATTGAAATCGTTGAAGTCTCATATTGAATCATTGATCAAAGAGCATACTGGAGGTGGGTCTTTCCGAACATTGCGGATGTATTCCCCTCCAAAGTAGCTCTTCTAGAAATCATGTTGCAGTGGAGACCTATCACTTTAACAGTTGCCTTTGAAGATTGGGATATTAGAAGCATAATAAAGGCAGTTCTTCCAAGCGATCTAGATTTTAGGTGAGCTTAGTAACCACTATGCCTTACTTTATTTTTTTCAGAACTTTTATCGGTTAACTTACTCCTACAGTTGTTTTTGAAAAAAAGCGCATGATAAATAGAGAAGTCCACGGAATGCCAAAATTTTTTAGAACTATACATTATCATCATTGTTTTAGATGGTCATTTCAGCAGCTACAGTCAAACTGGTCATATCGTCCATGTAAATTTGCGCGAGAACCTCCTTCCATACAAAAGGATCATTGGTCAAATTTTGCTAGAAAAAGTCTCAAGGTGTAGGTGGGTGTACGTTGTGGTTGTGGTTGTTTTTATTAATGCTAAAGTTTGGTTATATTCCAGTTTGAAATTGAGGGCGATGTAAAATCATTTGTAACCTATTGTGGGACTTTGGCACATAAAACCATTTTGTAGAGATCTTACGTACATCAAATTATATAGTACGAAAGGAAAGCTACTCTCTAAGTAAACATCATTCTTATGTAGATTTTTATTTCAAAATTTCTGCCCATAATTGATCTCGTTGTAAGTGAGGTAAATCATAGGTTTGAGGCTATGCTGAAGTTTGATGATGTCCCAAATTGAAGTTCTGAGCGATTTAGGATCACTTGTAACCTTTTGTGGGACTCGGGCGCATTCGACCATTTGGAAAAGATTTCGTCAATACATCTGTCTATATCTTAAGAAAAGATTTTCAAAGTTTCAACAGAATAGAGTTTTCGTATGGATTTTTTTCTGAGATGTTCCTCGACTCAGATTCCGCCTCGTTTTTATTATCATGAGCTCAGTATACCCCTATTCTTCTCCATTTTCGTACACTTCGTTTAGATTCTCGTGCATAAATATTACTTTGGATAATAGATAATGTCTAGCGACCGGCGGTTCTCTTCTTACGATTACCCTAGTTCAAGGAAAATGAAAGAGTTATTCTCGAGGAGGGGCTAGAGGTGACTAGAGTCATGAGTCCTGTTTTTTTTTTGGGGAGCGTAAGCTTATACAACGAGCTTTTACATCGATTCTCATCCCGTAATTATTCACCCAGCTTATTTATTAAGAACTGTGGTCAACAAAGTTGATGAAATCAAAAGCGAATATAGGAATTTCGAGCTGGACCTTTTAGCTGGTGTCGACGATTATGTTACAGAAACTCTCGAAGCAGGTGTTAGATATCGGCTCGATTTTTCGAAGGTTTGTTAACATTTTACATTTGTAATGAATACAGTCCCGATACCATTTTCTACCGTTCATATCGAGAAATTCAACAACCAACACTCATTTCCTTGATATTTGGGGATTCTAGAAAATCAAGCATTCAGCTAATGTCAGAATTCCACAGAAATGCTTGTCTCTATCTGCTTTGAAGTCACTTACCGTTTAAGGTGTTTTGGAATTCACGCCTCAGCCACGAACATGAACGAGTGGTGAAGTTGTTCGATCGTCGTTCTCTAGGTCTTTTTAATCATTTTTCCATTTCTTTTCCATCTCAAGAAGTAGATTGAGTAAAAGCTATACGGGCCGCGTTCAAAATTGAATCCATGCCCTCTTAGTCTATGATGCTTGCGCTGGTGTGGGTCCATTTGTCTTGCCAGCATTAAAAAAAGGGCATGCTTCACACGCTTTGGCAAACGATCTCAATCCGGAAAGTGTGCGATGGTTGAAAGAAAATGCCATTTTGAATAAGGTATGCTACTGCATCAAGATCATAAAACTCTTTTATTTCCTGTATTTCTACGAAATAAGTTACAGAGCTTATACAGTGTAGCATGTGGGATAACGCCTGATTTGCAGATACCTTCGGGAAAGTTAGAAATTTACAACTCAGATGCCATCGAATTCATTCGCGGTCCATTTGCAGAAGATTTAAGTAGAGTAAGTTTCTGAATATAGACACTATATTTTTCATAATTTACTGTGCAAGCAGTCGCCATACTAACGCCCTGCTCTTCTCTTTTTCATGTTAAGGTTATAATGTCTTGTGGAGCCTGTCATTGCTCCTACTTTTTCCTCATGGGAACATGAGATGTTATTAGGAATCCCATATCGAGTCGTACAAATCGACACCGTTCGACAACTTCGGTATCGGTTGCCATCATCGATCGCGACGTTTATCGCTATACCCCACAACACCACTGCATTTTTCTTGGAAATGGTGCGCTGTAAACTGAATTGAACAAAGTTACGATTCATCTGTCATTGATGCAACAGATCGGGAAAGGAAATCGGTGCATTGGCCAACTTTGCCACAGCGTAAGTCAGGGGGGCCCGCCATTATAACTGTTTTGAGGGTTGAAACAGGAAGCGCGTCTGAAGAACAGTCTTGCATGCAAACTGAAGAAATGGAAGGATATTGAAATCTAAAGTCCCTTGGAGGAAACTTCACGAATATCTCCTGAAGTTCCATCACGTTCGTGTCGTTGCATGCTCACGACAACATCTCCCAATTTCAATCCCAAGGGATCACAGGTCGCGAGTAAGGCGTGACCCCAATGCAGTAAATGCAGTAAAATCGCAGCGCACCCCGCAACTCTGGATCTTGATCTGTTGTCTGGAAAGGTTTTGGGATAGATTTTGGACGCTTCCCCCCCCCCCCCCCTTCCCTTTACAAAAGGAACATTTTTCGCGCTTTCTTGACCCCACTTGGCGGAGTCTACACCTGCCGGCTCCCCTGCGTGCTCCCATTCTGCCGCTTGTATCCCTTTAGATTTTGAAAGCTCTAGTCAAAAACGAATTTTGCGCACGCTCCGCCCCTGGTGGGTGGTCACTCCTGCCGTCTCCTGACACTGTTCCCATCTTGCTGTCTGTATCCTTTCCAAACTCAACCGCGCCAGCTCTTTGTGAGGACAAATTCCGTTCACGCTCTACCTTCGGTCCGTGGAGTTTACACCTGCGCTGGCCGTTAGCGTTCCCGACTGTCATCTGTATTTCTTTCAAATTTGAACACTCTGGGCGCGACGGAATAGGATTTACGTACTTCCTGTAAAACACACTTTTTGCGCATGGCACACCCCTCGTGTTCTGTGCGTGTCTTAGATCACGTGTTTCCAATTTAGTTATTCCCCTTTCAATCTGGCTTAACTTTTCCAGTTCAATTTCGGGAGAGCACCGTATGAACTGATGGCAACCAGACCTACAGTGAGAGCATAAACTCTCCAGCGACTGGGCACATTTAATATTGCTGATCACGTTGAATGGATTATATATAGCAATTACTCCTTCTGTAAACTCTAAATATTGGGTTGTCCAAAAAGTCTCCGCCGATTTTCGACACCCCGGATTCATCAACTGTTGTAAAAGAGATCAAGGACCCAACCTCATAAATTTATATGTTTTCTGAAAGAGTAGGTCCTCTTCTATATTCCGATTCTGTCAACATTTGTCAAAGTTTGTTAGTACAAGACTCGTGTGAAAATTGAGAACCATTGCGTGTATGTTCGGCATCTGAAGCCTTTCTTCTTCCACAAGGCCTGGAATGTGGTTCAAGCCACGAGAAAGATTTGTGACATTTAAGTAGACCATGCCTTAGAGGAACGTACAATGCGTGACCAGTTTGCGAAATCCTATCAGAGTGAATTTACTCTCGAAAGCCGGCAACCTTAAGGGAGACCATCATCAGTTAAAACGGCCAAATCAAAATGTGAACCGAAGGGAATCGGCGCATCACTACTCGTGGAGTTAGAGAAGGGCTTAATGTTCCGAAATCAACCATCCATGATCATCTGCAGAAACATGGTTTTGTAAAGCGCCTTGATGTTTTGATATCTCGCGAACTGACATACATACATACATACATACATACATACATACATACGTACATACATACGTACATACATATGTACATCCTTCGTGTATAATCGGCATATAATCGGTTAAGTGTGTCTGACCGAAAATCCGTGACTCCTGTACCGTGGATCTAGAGCATTCAAATATGGTATGAATACAGGCGGCAGGATATGAACGCTTATGGCGGGAGGCGAAATCAACTCCGCCTACATGTAGCGGGATTAGCGCGGAATAAACGCTTTAACGGAAAATCATAACTCCTGTCTCCGTGGACCTATGGCATTTGAATTCGGTAGGAGTACAGTAGGCCCGATGGAAACACTTATGATGTGTGGCCAGACGGAACTCCGTCCACATTGTGCGGGGTTTGAACGAAAATTCATAACTACTGTTCCCATGTACCTGGAGCGTTCAAATTTCGTATGAATACTGGCGGCAGGATGAAACACCTGTCATATGTGGCAAGACCAGATTCCTCCCACTTTGGGGTTTGAGCGAAAATTCATAATTATCGTTCCCCTGCAACTAGAGTGTTCATATTTGATAGGAGTGTAGTCGGCAGGTTGGGGATGCTAATGGGAGGTGGCATGACTTCGCTAACAGGAAGCGAGACGAACACAAAAATTGCTAATATATACCTGAGGCGTTCAAATTTGGGACGTGGGCAGGCGGCAGATTTAAGACGCCGATGCTAGGCAGTAGAAAGTAACTGAAACTGTTCCAGCGGAAGCGTAGGGCGATGTAGGGTGCGGTCCATGCATGAAGTGAGCGTACTTCGGGGAGAAAACACGCATTCAAGTGGAATACGAACGGCTGAACCCAACTCTTTGAAGTGTGAGAGTGTGTATAGATGTCATTGGATAGCGCCTGTTCTCATACACACAAATGTTAAATTTGGGAGAGTGCAAGCGGTAGATCAACTTCAACACAACCATCTTTCGTTATAATTGACGCGCCGCCTGCACTCTCCACGCATACATATGCACATATATGCATAAAGTCACACCAAACGGACACCCTCTCATGCCCGACTCGGTGTGGTTTACTAGAAATGAAGTATTGGAAGTCTTACTAAAATGGAGGAATAACTCTAATCTAAGCCCTGACGGTATCCCTTTTCGGTTTATCCAAAAAGTTACGCACAATATCTTGTTTACATGGAAGCTGATTTTCAACTACAGTTTTATGTATGCAGATGTACCGCTCCGTTGGAGGCATTCGTTTGTTGTACCCCTACGGAAAAAATCACCAGGTGATGACCCTGCAAACTAGAGGCCTATTAGTCTCGCTTCACTCTTTGCTAGAGTTTTTGAGAAGAATCTAAAGAAAAGGATTGTTAAACATTTGGAAGATAACTCCTTAATTTCTGAGGAGCAGCATGGGTTTTTTAAGGGTAAGTCTACTGAGACTCAACTACTAGAATGTTTAAATGACTGGACTTCTTCCTTGGAAAGACGAAGCCCGTGGATGTGATTTATAATACTTTGATTTCGAAAAGGCACTTGATAGAGTCCCTCATAACGAATTGTTAATTAAGCTAAGTAAAATAGGTATCCATCCCAGAATTGTGACTTGGATAGGTAGTTATTTGGAAGGAAGATGTGCTGGTTCTCGAACTTGGCCACGCGGGACTTGGATAATAGGCGATCCACAAAATCGATCACGAAAAAATCGAAAAAAAAATCGAAACGATAGCTCACGGGTTAACCGCAGCACAGAAGACTCCCCAAACTTAGGTAATTAAACTTTTATCAACATCGCAACATCGTGGTT